CATGTTTTCTTCCTATGTCATAGTTCATAAGACACTTGTCCTTATATTTACCGTTTTTGTAGAATTATCTATGTTTTCTGGTAGAGCACATACATGTATTTATACCCCTACGCAACTAGCTGCGTGAGGTATAATGTTTTTGACCCGTCCGTCAGAGTGTCAGTCAGTCAGTCCTGTTTTTTGTCAGCGCAACTCATAAACTGCTGCACAGAATTTCGTCAAACTTTGCAGGTATTTAGGACACAATGTGTAGATGTGCTTATTACCAGGAAATTCCGATTCCTTTATTTTTTAGAATTTTGGCACTTTTCAACTTAGATTTTTGGCTATACCTTGAATATAGAGATGAACATTTTGTCAGCGCAACTCCTCATAAACCGCTGCACAGATTTTCGTCAAACTTTAGAGATATTTAGGACACAATGTGTAGATGTGCATATTACCAGGAAATTCCGATTCCTTTATTTTTTTTTTGGGAATTTTGGCACTTTTCAAATTAGATTTTTGGCCATACCTTGAATATACAGATGAACATTTTGTCAGCACGACCCCTCATAAACCGCTGCACAGAATTTCGTCAGACTTTGTAGATATTTAGGACACAATGTATAGATGTGCATATTACCAGGAAATTCCGAATCCTTTATTTTTCTGGGAATTTCGGCACTTTACAACTTAGATTTTTAAGGATATCTTGAATATAGTGATGAACAGTTTGTCAGCGCAACTCCTCATACACCGCTGCACAGAATTTCGTCAAACTTTGCAGATATCTAGGACAAAATATGTACATGTGCATATTACCAGGAAATTCCGATTCTTTTATTTTTCTGGGAATTTCCGCACTAAAAACTTAGGTTTTTGGTCATACCTTTTATACAGTTTGTCAGCGCAACTCCTCATAAACCGCTGCACAGAATTTCATCAAACTTTGCAGATATTTAGGACACAATTTGTAGATGTGCATATTACCGGGAAATTCCGATTGTTTAATTTTTTCCGGGATTTTCAGCACTTTGAGTTTTGGGGGAGCGTGGGGTATATGTAAGCTTGCTCACTTTTTCTTTCATTTATAATGAAACATAACAACTAGTGCAATTTATTTCAGGTTCAAAAATATGGAAGCCTCTAAATTTTTGCTCATTGCATTGGTGCTTACAATATGTGCAGTTGTCTTTCAACTGATTGGATTGGCGTCGCCTTACTGGACGGTAATTGATGCAACGCTAGTAAAAATTAATTCCGGTTTGTGGAAAATGTGTACTGAAACTGTTTCGACTGGAGATACCAAGTGCGAAGATGTCACTATACCAGATGGTTATAAAGGTACAAGCTTTATAAAATCTATTATGATTTTTCTAAGATTTGTTTTAGAATGGGAAGAATTCGATGGAAAAATTTATTAAACACAATGGATGTCTAATTTTTAAGGATAATTAAAAAAAAAAGATGAATACAAAATTTTTTGTGATATCACAATCAAGGGTAAATAAGCTAAGACCATTAAAAAAAATCTTTTAAATTGAAAACTGTTTTCTGTTGCTATTTGAATATCAGATGTTATCATTACGTAAATATATTTTTTTTAATAGACGATATTAACGCAGTCCGAGCAATGGGCATCCTTGGATTGCTAGTATTGGTGGTAGCAGTAATCATGACAGTTTTAAAACTGTTCGTTTTGAAAGAAAAGAAACCAGTTTTATTTGGGGCCGTTGGCACAGCTTTTGCTGGAGGTGAGCTACATTTTATTAAGGTGGTATCTGTGGGATTCTATTTTGTTTAAACATGTTTGCACGAAGTTTAGTTGTCTTTCCTTAATTATGCAGATATACCCTCGAAAAAAAAAACAACATTTTATTGCATCAACTTGAATGTAATTAAAGGTTGTGTTTGTGCGTGTTTGGGGTTGGGTCATAAAAATAAATTTGAATTAATTTCATCACTTTAAAAAAATTGAATAACATTTGTTTAAATGTCTTCTTGCACAGAAAATAGTTACTGACGACATTTTGATTTATGAGATTTTTTTTTAATTTAAGCTACTAGAGTATCTTAACCATCATTCGCAATTAATGAATGATTATAGCAAATTAGCAATTAATCCTTTTGAAACACCAAATCATGTTCAAAGTTCATAAAATTTGATGAAGGTGTCTTTAACACGCTTCAACTACTGCAACAAAATAACAATGCTAAAGCCTTAGGAAGTATTGGGGGTGCAATTTCAGTTGGGAGGGGACACAAGCAAAGGAAAATGCTTTGAAAAAATTAAGTGGAAAGAATGCATTGAAATAATTAAGTGGAAAAACATAAAGTAGGTACATGTTAGGTTTTCTATCGTTTAATCGTTTATTGGCAAATTATTTTTTGCGCCGGGGGGGGGATCATCGTTCCTTCTGGCATAATAATGCTCTATCACTAAAAACCGTTTATCTTTGAATAACCATAGGTTTTACGCCAGTTTCACTTTTGACTTACGACATGTATCTAGTTGTCTTAAGATTTTGATAGATCTTAAAATTATCATAAGATATGAAAGTTTTGTGAAACAGCTATGGTGCAATCTTACGATAATTTTCGGTCTTAAGACAGAAAAGATAGCTTTGTGAAACTGGCCCCAGGATGATAAGAGTATTCTCACCTGTTTGATTGCTTTTTATGTTAAAAAGCTGGTATTTTTTCAGAGTACTGTAAATGAGCAAAGTACTTAGAAGCATACACATCTTTAAGAAGTCTAAAATAGCAAATTAAGGTATTGATCCTTACGTTGCGGGATGGAATCCCACTGTGGGACGTGGAGACAGGTCCTTCGGATGAGACCGCATAAACCGAGGTCCCGTGTCGCAGCAGGTGCTGGCCGAAAAAAGATCTCTCACTGCTCCGGCTCGTGCACCATGTGTCAAACCCTGACTACTATTTAGGCATAGTGCATGCAAAGTACAACACTATTATATAAATATCGTAAATTGAAAGTGATAAAATCTTAAATTCGTAACTGTATATGTAAAAGAGTTGTGAAAATTGTAAAATTTAATTATTTAAAACTTTGTGATTTAACATTTATTAACAATTAATTTAGACTGAAAATTACGGAAGCCTATTTAGGACCCATCGAAAAATATTTTTGAATCCGATATAACGATATATCCGATTGTCGAATTTGTTATAACGAATTGAATTTGTTATAACAATTTCTTTGAATTCGTTATAATGAATTTAATCTGTTGCAACAAATTTGTTGATTTCATTATAACGAAGTTAAAAAATTTGTTTATACGAATTAAACTCGTTTTAACAGACTCTAAAACTTGTTATAACGAATTGAATTCGTTTGAACAAATTCCATGATTTGTTATAACGAATTTAATTCGTTAAAACGAATTCGACAAATCGAAATCAAAGCATAAAAAAAATAATTGGGCGTTTTGTAGTTGATTATTGTATGGTTTACATAATTTTAATGCTGAAGTTTTTATGAACTGTGTTGTACATATGCCATCAAATACGTGTATTATTACAAATAACTCCCAATTTCATTTCATGCTAATCAGTATATAAAAGTTCAATTTCACTCAGAAAATGACATGAGAATTTCAACAGTTACATTTCATGCCTGAGAAATGGACATCCTTAATATCAAGTGAAAGAATCAGTCAGTTATTTAAAGATGAGTTGCATTACTGATAACATAGTTTTTTTCAGGTACCTATATATATATTATTTATTTTCTTTTTTGTAGGTGTGTTTATCCTTATTTCAATAGCAATATATGCAGACAGAGCGAAGGAAATGAATACGTTCGACTACGATTACCACTTTGCTTTCGCCTTAAGCATTATAGGAATGATCGCAGCGATCGGTGCAGGGGCCGTCATGTTGGTTGAGATCATTAAAGGATAACTGAATTGCAAACTACTTTTGTATGAAATATTTTGGAAATTAAAAGAATTAGATTTAGACATACCAGTATACAGTCTGGTGTCTTTAATCTTTTACAAATATTAGAAATCCCAGTCTAATTTACTCATTATTATCAAATGATATATGAAACTAGATTATATTTTTTAAAAAATTTTATTTGCCTCATAACGTACGCATACATTGTCAATTTTTGTGTTACAAGTATATAAGAAGCAGGGGCGCGTAACATAAAGCTTGCTAAGTTTTTGACTTAAGTAGGGTCGTAAGTACGGTTTAGGCATAATCTTAGGACCTGACTAAGTACTACTTAAGTATGTCTTAAACCGTAACATAAAACGAACTTAGCTAGGTCTTAGCTGTTAAAAATATTTCATATGAGTCAACCTATGGTTTTTGATTTTATATAGATATATTGCTAAAAGTGATTCAGTTAGGGTTTTAATTAATTACATATTTAAGTTGACGTCTTGATCTATCGGTTTAAGATATGTTAGACTAGATTTCGTATCAAAATTATAATTATGTTTTAAATTATTCGGAATGTTTGAAAACAAATACCGCACGGTCACAAAGTGGCGATTTGTGGTTCATTGTAAATGTTCACGACAATTGTTTTATCACCTGAGATGTTTTCAGTTTAACTTTTGTAACTCTTTTGTCTTGACAAATGTTCACTTACCCTGTAATTATCGCAGACAAGAAAGAAATATAATCGACCGCCTGTCCACTTGATATTGAAACTGAAAACTTCAATACATTTTGAATCCCCGCTATGTATCAGGCCATGCGTGTCAGAATCAAAAACTGCAGAAGGTTTATGATATACTCATTTGCAAGTTAATCAAGGATACAAAAAAAAAATCGGGATATTTTTTCGTATTTCTCCACTTATCAGTAATTCTCTCTCTCTCTCTCTCTCTCTCTCTCTCTCTCTCTCTCTCGAACTGTAGTGAGCCCTGTCTAAATCTGCACTTGTCGCGTTCTACATTTATTCTACTATACAGATATTTTTATAATATTACTTACTGTCATCATCCTCTTTCTTTTCTGTTTTTAACAAAAGATTTCAACTCATATTTTCAAAGTGAACATACAGATCCATGGTTTATTACTGCGTTCAATTTACTTCTATAACCGAAGTCCCACTAATTTCAGACGTATCCCAAAAATTAATTTTGTATTTACATGTATGTTGTGTTGGGAGTGATATTGGAACCAGTGATCAGCTCCCCCCCCACTACGAAAAAATAAAATTCTTAAATCAGCGTCAAATAGAGATAATTATTTTCTTTAATGCATAATCTGAATAGAGGAATGTTTTAACATCGAAAGTCAACATTGAATAATTCTAAATATATGTACAAGAAAGTTAAGATATACTTAAGTCACCTCTACCGGCAGCCTAAGTTTTGCTAAGATTGCCAAATCTTAGTACGCTTCTAGTTACAGTCTTAAGTTTTAGACTGTACTTAAGTCCTACTTAAGCACGGTCTTAGACTTAAGTAGCCTTTATGTTACGACCCCCAGGACAAAAAATTACGCAAAAAAAAAATTAATGTAATAATGGGCCATTATCAGTTATAATTTTAAACCCGCTTCATCCGAAACAGGCACATATTATCTTAAACAATAAAAAGTATGTCAATACATAGATAATATATAAAAATTAATTATAAGATTGATTTAATAGTTTATTACAACAATCCTTACATGGAAAACATAGACCAAAAACCTTGCTGACAAACAGCAGTTCCTGACGGGAAGTTAAGACCTGTTTTGAAGTCACCTTTGAAAAAAATACTTGGGGGGGGGGGGGGGGGAAGAGAGGGGAGAAACGTTATCGGTTATATCTATTATGAAGAGAATTCAAACCCGAGTATTTTTCCATTAGTAGAATCCTAAGAATTAAGAAATTAACTGAATATAATCCATAGTAATTTTTATATTAATATGCATATTTACAGAATAAAGGAAAATCAGATATTTTTAAAGATTTTTTAAAAAGAGAGTTTAGTAACGAGGGCTAGAATATTGCCCATGTACACTTTGTTGTGAAAAAAATGCTCGGGTTTGTTCTTCATGAGTTATACATGTAAGCGATAAATTTAATTTTACGCAGGTGATTTCAAGCAATGTAAACAAAGGATTATTTTTTGTGTGACCTAACAAAAATTATTTTTTAAGTTTTGAATATTGATATCTTTAAAAAGAAAAAGACTTTGGGAATATAATTTGACAAAAGTTGAAATAATTTATGGACAATTATTTTTCAAGAAGAAAAACGAATATATTTTTTTAGCGATTAGAATCGGACCAGGCTTTAAATCATCATCGCTAACAAACATCATTTATAATGGATAATGTTATGCATGAAACATTACAAGTCGGTAAATACGTCTAACATTCAGTTTTGCTTATCTACAGATGATTAATTTTATTTCAGAAAGTAACTAACTATCATAAAATCTTATTCAAATAATTATGCTAAAATTGAAACATACTTTCCATTGTGTATGGGGAGACTGGGCAATTCCCATTGTATATTAATATTTTTACAAGAATGATCTCCTACTGCTTAAAATTGCTTACCCCGAATACTTTAGAAAACAAAACAGTTTGTGTTTTGTATAAATACCTATGTTCTCAATATTTTCAAGGAGGTCCAAAAACCCATGGGTAGATTTCATTTGTAAAATTTTAACCTCTCGTTGGTTCTACAACATTTGGTATGAACAAAGTTCCATTGACAGAATTTGGGTACTTGCAGCAGTGAAGCAAAGATTAGGCGACCAATTTATTCAAAAATGGCATAGTGATATATAATTCATCAAAAGGTCAAATTTACACAATTTTAAGAGTTATTTTGGATGTGAAAAATAAATAAGTATTTTACCTAGTAAACTAAAAAAATACTAATAAAATTAGAACTTCAAAGCACCACCTCTCAATTGAAACTGGAAGATGGTCAAATATTCCACTGGATGAAAGAGTTTGTGAATTGTGTAACACAGGGCAAATAGCAGACGAATTTCATTTCATTTTAGAATGTAAAACATTGAACAGTATCAGAAAGAATCTTTTACATCTCAGATTTTGTAAAACGCCAAATACACTTAAGTTTTCTAAATTATGTCAACGACAAACGTAAAATCTTAAAAAAACTGTTTCTATATTCATATCTAAAATAAAAGCCACTGTCTGTCCTCCATAATTGAAATGTTATCATACCATTTTTTTCTTTCATTGTATATTTATTACTATATTATAATTTATTATGTACATATGTATATGTATCATACTTATATTTATTATTTTTGTCACGGCTAATTTATAT